CCCCCCCCCCCCCCTCTGGCTACGCCACTGTTCAACGTGAAAAGCGTTGAAAGAAACCTTTGAAAAGCTAAATACTAGTGAAATTTATTTTAGAAAATTTTAATAATAATCGTTAATGTCTATTTTCGATTCATACTCACAAATACCCAGTTTTTCTGCGCAAAATTATAACTTCAGAAACCATCTACATATGTATGTATAAAGGTTAGATGAGAAAACGACCGTAAAAGCTGATATGCAGCTCTCAAAAAACGGGTTAAGAAAAAAATTGCCATTATTTCGTATGTGTGACCAAGGAATTTTGACAACTGATACTTCACCAGCCTGTTGCCTCGCTCTTTCCTCAAGAAATAATGGAACGGGCATATATTTCTGTTGCAAGCATGGGTTGCCGTGTGCTTTTTTTCACAAGAAACTTTAGAAAACCGTAGTAGAAAGCGTAGAAAATTTCTTAAGAACTGCGTACTCCTCAAGAAAATTCTACACAAGAAAATTTCTTAGCCATTTCTTGTACGTCATTTTATATGGATTTTTTACTTTTCTTGAGAGCTACATACTGGCCTTAAGTCAGAAAGCCAATTTTCATTCTCCAATTGCGGGTAATGTTCCGATNCCTCAAGAAAATTCTACACAAGAAAATTTCTTAGCCATTTCTTGTACGTCATTTTATATGGATTTTTTACTTTTCTTGAGAGCTACATACTGGCCTTAAGTCAGAAAGCCAATTTTCATTCTCCAATTGCGGGTAATGTTCCGATCTCAATTGGCCTATGTGTATATAAAAAGATTAAATTAAAAAAAAACAACAAAATGGAAAAGAATGTCCAGCCAAGAAATATGTATTTTAAAAAGTAAAAAGAGCCTAAATGTTCTAAGCAAAGAGAAAGTGAGAAGAGCCGCACTTTGCTAAGCAACGAGCCGAGTTTGCCCACCGTTGCAATATATCAACTTGGAACTCAGCCATTCACCAATTTCCAATAGGGACTAAAATTTATATGTGATATCTGTGACCGTGGTATTACCGATTGAGCTGGAGACTGAAAAAATCTTTAATTTAATTTTAAGGACCACCCAAATGTACATATGTATGTATACATATATGCAGATATAGGTACACAGTTGCGACAATCAATGGTCCTACTGTTTTTATGAGGTTATTGTAAAGTTTAAGGAAAATCAATTATCTCCATATCGTCACTAGACACGAATAAAGGCGCGCTAGTGTTTCGACGGCGAAAAAAGATGCGTAAAAACAATTTACGAAAAAAAGTGCTTAAGAAAAACTTCGGCGATGAAAGACGCGTAAACATAGATTTATACTTGGCCAAGGACTGTCACTTCAGCATCACTCTCTCATCTCTTTGGGGAATTTACATACTGTTACGCCCGCAAAAATATTTCACCGCGAATATAAGTTTACGCGTCCTTCTTCGCCGTCAAATATTTCAACGCTCTTTCTTCGCCATCAACTATGTTAACAGTCTTCTTCGCTAGAGTTTTTTTATGCGCCTTTTTCGAGGTCAACTTTTGAGCTCACGATTTTATTCGTGTCTAGTGACGATATATTTTAATCAAATTACTAATATCAACCACCACTTCCCATATAGCGAACGAAAGGAAATAACTTTAATTTTTGATTAAAGAAAATAAAACCAATATCGTTCGCGCAGTTTTCAAGCATTTTCTTAAATGAAAAAGTTGCTTAATTTGTTCAACAAATGTGTCCACACAAAAATGAATTATTTTTTTATATAGTATTCTAATAAGTAATAGCTAGTTAATATTGTGAAAAAAATAAAATATGTATGACGCGCTGTAAGCCAGATTCACCTGAATTCTGACTAGAAACTTTACTATTTTTTCTCGCATTTTTATTTATTAAGGTAAAGATCCTCTATTAAATTATAAATACATTTTATATCCCGTTTCTCAGCTCACAAATGCACCTTCATATATACATAAAAATCAAGTTAAAGGCTTCTTATATAAATAAATATACTAAATCATTTTTAATTTAAATATACTTACAGACTTACTTCTTTGGGTCCGAAAATCCTCTTAAAGGTCTGAGTCTCAATAGAGAAAATGTAACCATTACTCACGGCTATGAAGCTATATTGATGTTCTATGGTTACGATTTGGGAATGGATATGGTATCATCTGCAGTAACAATGCCAATCACTACTACATCAGAGCCCAAAATAACCGAAAACAAATCAGTGGTCGCAACCACAGCAATGCCCGAAGTTATCACAATAAATATTCCAGATTTCAACACAGAAAACAGTACTGAAAGGAATTTGATAAAAGAGAATAATGTCATTACCTCAGATCCAGGTCAAACGGCTTCGCCTAGCATAATGGCGATAACTACAGTAACACCTACTGCTGTTGCTGAAAACAAAATGGGAACTACAACTGAAACCAGTCAAATTACGACATCATCAGAAAATACTACGATAGAAGCAACCACAGAAAACCCTGGGTCATCAACAACTTTTGCAGAAGAGGTAACTAGCGAAACAAATGAGGATACCACAGCAGCGAATCCTACGCCAGGTAATGATGTTGCCGAACTAGTGGGTACATTACCCACCGAAATCAATTCAATGCCCTTTCAGAGGTTACAGAAATCACGTCCTTTCCATCAACCAAGCGTCAAACTGCTAGCTCCTTTATCGTCGATTGCTATACCCAAACACAACTATTTGCCGCAGCATGCGCAATTGCGAAGCGGTCGTCATAAACGACATTTACTTGCCTTAAAGGAGGACAACAGTAATCTTTTCGTAACACTTTTCAGTCCGCAACACCAACTACACCGTGATTTGTATGCGATATCTCATTCAGGTACTGGAACTACGGAGCGTGGGCAATTCACAAACAAATATGAAGTTGAAACGCTGGACTCGCGACTACTGAATGTGGCAAACACCAAGAGCAATTATGGTTTTAATACAGATGTAATAAGTCACGTATTCTACTTAGGGAACCATCAACTTATTCACACAACATTCAAAGTTTACAATGCGGTTTTGTATTTTAAATATTTTGAAGAATTAAAAATGAGTGCTCTTGAACTCGAACTGGATACACCTGAATATAATTTGATGATTTTACTACCTGATGATCAGATGGATTTGGTAGCGGCGACGGCATCACTTGGATTGGCCCCATCCTTGCGATATATAAGAAAACAACTAAAGCCCAGATGGGTTCAAGCTATTATACCAGACTTCAGACTGAATGGAATAATGTTTCTTACCAATGACCTTCAAAATGTAAGTGATAAAAAATAAGTATGTCGACAGGCTGGCTTTAGTATAATGCAACATACGATTGCGAATGACTCACTGGCGCCGAGCCGATGAAGAACTTTGGCAAGTAAACGTGCAAGAAATAGTTCCGATAATTGCAAGTCAATATTCTTATAAAGTCTCATCAAAAAATTCCTTGTCGTTTAAAGAATAAAGGGAATTCCGCATTATACTAAAGCCAGCCTTTCGACATAAGCTACTATTCCAAACGAACACAGATATATTCTGAACGTACCCAGAAGAAATTTTATGCATACGACATTGCTGTTGGTGGCATGAGCTTGCTGCTGTGTATACATGCCAGTATAAATGAATCTTCATTTCCATTTAACACGCGTGGTTTCTCAGAGCGTATGCGTACTCTAACCATAAACTTGTACTACGGCTGTATGCATATGGCTGTATTAATATTTCAAACATACAAAAATCCATTAATGGAACAGATTAAAGCATTCTTACAAGATATGTGTCCCCATATGAAAATGCTACTTTTCTGATACATTTTAATATATAATATATGCAAAAGAATATCTTAAAAAAACCCGTTTGTGCTGAAAATAGTATCGCATAACACGTCCGTTCACCAAAATTTTTGTACAAATAAAAAAAAATCCCACTTCAAATCAGTTATGGAATATGGTCGCAAGTGCATGGTATCGAACGACAGCCTAATATAGTACTGAATCCAATGAAATAGTATCGAATTTTTTTCTAAGTTCACATTCAAAGAAAAATATGGTTTTATAAATCTTTTTATTAAACAGGACTTCAGAGTTAACAAACACAACAAAAATGCTTTACATTTTTAGTTTAATATACATATGCACATATTTATACATATATAATGTTTCACATTAATATACGAATATATCTTTTACATTTATAATGTAGAAATAAGTAGCTTCAAAGTACTTTATCTATTCTTAGGTAATTCAAAATTATAGCAGCATTTTGGCTTTTAAAAAATCTTTTGTTTGTATTAAAAAGGAAACAGTACTGACTTGTAAACGATTTCGCAATTTTGTTTTGACTAGATTTTGGACAGAAAAAACACGTTCAACACTGGCTGAGGGATGTGGAATAGATAAAATTCCTCTAACAATCCTTGAAATGTTTTTGAAAAGAGGCTCGTTGAATTAATTTTTTAAACAGGAAACTTTCCCAAAATTCGGCGATTCCACAATTCTTAAACGATTTTAGTTCTTCAAATTCTGATAGTGACCAATATTCATTGTTAATTTCCTCTAAGTATTTAATCTCTTTGGGAAAGAGTCTAATAATAATTGGTACAATAGTATTTGTTTTACCCTACAAAACATGTTCGGATGTAAATTTAGGCATGAAGTTTAACACTTCATCATTAAAGTTATTTTTTTTTCTTAAAGACTCAACAAATTTGATGTAAAAACTCAAAATGTTCCGTTTAAATTTTAGAACATCTTCATCTGATATAACATCTGACCCAATCAATAAATCTACTCCAACTCCGCAATACACCTCGCTAATAGATAATTGATCTTCAAGTAAATTAATATAGTTTATACCTTTATCATCTATTGCATCTTTCCTTAAAATATTCCTTGCCAAATTGTGAAACAAGAACGTAATTCTTGGAAGAAATATATGAATACGCGCATCCTCCGACTGCATTTCCAAATTAATATCATTAATTATTTTTAAGACGTATGATAGGAAAAGAAAATATAGTTTTATATAAGAACTTTTAATTGACCGTGCAATAAATTCTACATTGCCATCCATTTCAAAGTTTAAAGTTTGTTAGTGTAAAATAACACTGAAGTGGCTGCCACTGTTCTAAAATTCTGTCGATTGCTGCTTGCCTGGAAAGCCACCTAGTATTAACATATTTTAGTATAGTATGTTCTTCCACAAAAAAATATTTTTGAAAAGACAAAAAATCCTCTTTTCGAGACGAACTGTTACAACAGAAATAAAAATTTATGGCCTTAATCAGTTTATCCACGTCATTCGGGATCGCATCTGATGCAGCCGCCGCAGCGAGATTAAAAATATGGCAAATGCAACCATTCACAAAAAACTCAGTGCGTGTAGTCCCTACGCGCGGAAGAAGTGAAACTTAATAGAGGAAATGCCAGAAAGAAAGAAAATGCGATATCTATACACATGTACATATTTTCTGATATACAAAAATCATATTTATTTAAAATTTTTTTCAACGGCCTTTAATTTTTTATTTTTTATAACCAACTGCAAAGTTTAATTATTATTGGTTCCTGTGAAAACATCCATATCTACAATATTAACTAGTAGATTTTGGTAACTAAATTAAGATATGAAATGTTTTATTTCATCTTCATCTCCATCTTCATCTTCATCTTCATCTTCATCTTCATCTTCATCTTCATCTTCATCTTCATCTTCATCTTCATCTTCATCTT